GGAACACACAGATAGCATGTGGACTGAAACAGGCACCATTACCAGCAAAACTGCAAGCAATTTGTGATGCACTCACTCCTGATTTCTGCAACACACTTCCTGCTGTATGCTCATTAACAGGATGACTCTGTCATCCCTGTTTGTGTTGTCAAAACAAAGGGCACTTACCGCTTCGGAGATCTTGCCAAATTGGGAGACAGTACTTAACAAGCCACAATTTCTGCAGCAATGAAGTTGGTAACAGTGTATGACCAGATGAGAAAGAAAGGGAGACCCTCAGAGACCTGAAGTGCCTGCACATCAATCTAGTCATCAAAAAGGACAAGTCACTGTGTGTGGACAACCACGTGTGGACAGTTTTGAAGAGCATGTCAAAAGAGTATCTTAGCAAACAAAGATTTGGGTGTCTTCGAACATAAGTAACCCAGATATTGGATGACTATTACAACATAGTTGGGAAAATGTGGATAATAAAGTACTTCCTGTATTCTTCCAGGGCCCAATGACATCTGAGCTTCCGCAAGACCGTATTTGTGTCTGCACCAGAAGGGATCACTGCACAATCAACTGTCAGTTTGCAGGAGGAGCTGAGACAAACATCAATTCAGCCAATCAGAAACCAGCTTATTCAAAAAATTTTTTTTAAATGTACTTTAATTAAAAAAAAAAGATTTCAATTGGCTGGAGCCTGTTTCCTGGGCCAATCAGGATGCACTTTCCCCCTCAAGGACTGTCTAGAATGCAGCTTGCAGCTGTTACTCTAGCATCCAGTCAGGACAAGAGGTAAAACAGACAAATAACATCCTAATGAAGTGTGGTGACAGAATCAGTCTCAGCTGCAAAGAAGTTAGTGTCTGGGTTTTGCTTATGCATGTGCATTGCATCTTGTGCCCATTCTCCAGGCCCAGGGATGAAGCTTTCAGTCAAACTCCCAAGAAATGTGGGCAGTTTATTTGCAAGCACCCCTCTCTCTAATCATGCTTCAGTGTGTGACTGGTGGAAAATCCCCAGCAGCCTTCCCTCCCTTCCGAAGAGCAAGGTGATCGTGGTTTGATCCAGGGACCGTCACTGAGAGTTTGCAGCATGAGGCACGCCTGCCCGCACTGCACACCAGTATAACTCTGTTCTGGCTGCAGAAAATGGCTTCACCAGGCAGTGGCTATAGGGAGCAGTGGCCGGTGTGAAATGGCAGGGCTAAGGTAACCCGCAGTCCAAACAAAATGCCTTGCCTTATGTAAGAAACCACAGCACCCTGCCTTCTGCCAGACAGCATAATGTGCCTCTTTGTGTGCGCGAGACAGAGCTGTGTATACACGCCGTGTTAACTCGCTCTCCGTCCCCAGTGCAGGATCATCACTGATAGGAACCAGATGCAGGAGTTGATGACTCCAGCTGCCTTCCCATTCCATTATCAGCCAGCTGGGAAACCTGTGTGTTAAAGTGGGGTCCCCACCCCAAACCTTTCCAACTCTACAAAGCAACTGCTCTCATACCCTCAAGTACCCTGGCTCCCTTCAAGTTAATCACATGATAAGTTTAAGAGTAAGGCCAGGTGGATGTAACGGGACGGATTCTGGGGGCTGCTGGATCTGGAATTATTCAGACCACCTTCCGGTATTCTCCAGCCCCTAAAACAGACTCCCAGTCATGTGCATGAGACTCCTTTGTGCTCCCCACATCTGGTGCAGATGTTTTGAGACAGGCATCTGAGCAGAACAAATAGCTCAGAATCCCCACATGAACCTGCGCTCTGTAGATTCCATGGGTGTGGTGGGAGTTGGGGAGAGAAGCAGGCTCCAGGCATCCATCCGATAAAGCTGGGAAGAGCCGAGACCCCTCAGGGCTGTGGAAGGGAGTGGACGTGGGGGAGATCATCCTACTGCGTCTCTCCAGGGATCAAAGGAAGTGTGTAGAAAAGCCAGGGCTCCTGCAACAGGCACTCGACCCCCTGGAGCATTCTAAGCCAGTGAGAGTGACATGGAGGCTCTCGGACCCACCTGCAATGGCATGATGCTCAATAGTAGGTGGGGACCCAGGTCCCCTGTAAGCAGCAAGCCTCAGAACTGCTCCGCATGCACTCAGCACTCTCCCCAGTCAGTCACCCAGCCACAGCCCGGCCACCAAGGCCTCAGAACTGCTC